ATTGGTATAAAGAAAACACAGTTGCTTTCAAGAAAAAATATGTAATTTGCAACATGCAACTGCATACTTTTTTTAAAACCAATGTGTTTTTTTTTATACCAATTGATTTGTCTCATTATTTTATGCATAAAAGTATTAAGGTAAGATTCCCAAAAATTGAATGTTTTACAAGATATTTTGTATTTTATGTCAAAATACTGTAATTTACAAGCCTCATAACTTGAAAAGTACTTAATGAAAAATAACTTCATTATAGTGTTTTGAAAAGCTCTTGACACCAGTTATTAGATTTTGGAATCAAAAATAGGGGTTTCCATTAAAAGAAATAACTCTGACCTTCAAATGACCTTGAAAATTGACTTCAAGGTCAAAGTCACTAGCATAAATAGGTGACCCCCATTGTCCCGAACAACTTTTGTCTGAACCATTTTTCTGTATTTGGCTTACTTACGGAATAATCACCTTGTAACACTTTAATTGCCCGACCTTATATACAGGGTGTCCCACCAAAAGTGGTCACCCCCTTTTATCTTTTAAATTAAAAGAGATAGACCATAACAAATATATATCAAATTAAATGGTTCAAACTGAACTCTATTGTGAGTATAATAGTTGCTTACAAAAGCTATTTGTGTTAACGGAGAGGTATGCATAATTTTTTTATAATAATGTGAATATTTTGATGCAAGAAAAGTTGTAGCGCTATTTGAAAAGAATACAACGATGTATGATTTAATATAAATATTTTACATATTATACAAGTTTTATCGGCTTGAAATATCGCGGGCGACGTCTACCTTTTCACTTTCGGTCCTGCGATATGGCCAACTTCTGACTCGTGCGTTAGAGATTGATGTATGTCAATTGAAATTGTAGCGCTGTTAATTATTAATTAATTATTAAAGTTGGCCATATCGCAGGGCCGAAAGTGAAAAGGTAGACGTCGCCCGCGATATTTCAAGCCGATAAAACTCGTATAATATGTAAAATATTTATATTAAATCATACATCGTTGTATTCTTTTCAAACAGTGCTACAATTTTTCTTACATCAAAATATCCACATTATTATAAAAAAATTATGCATACCTTTTCGTTCGTTAACACGAATAGCTTTTGTAAGCAACTATTATACTTACAATAGAGTTCAGTTTGAACCATTTAATTTGATATATATTTGTTATGGTCTATCTCTTTTCATTTAAAAGATAAAAGGGGGTGGCCACTTTTGGTGGGACATCCTGTATATATATATAATTTGTATAGAATGAACAATCAAATGTTCACATTTTCGACACTTTTTTCAAACCACAATAGCTCTCTCAAATTCAGATTTCATTAGATTATTCCTAAAAGTAGATTCGTGCGTTGAAAACATCAATCAATTATCTTACCGATTTCTGGACATTACGAGAACACGATGAATTTGAATAATATGAATTTCACTCAGAAGACGCGTATTAGTGCAACAATAATTGTTCGAAACAAGAGAAAATTCGCGAGGAAGAATTGATAACTACATTGGAGTACCACGATGACGTTTCGAGTAACGTCAGTTCACCTTTGCACGCTTTCAGTTATTGATCGCGTCTACATCATGTCTGGATATCCTCTCTTCCTTTCCCTCTTTCCCTGTTCTGCTCTGCTCTGCGCCCGTAGCGCCTCAAATCGTGATTCACCCTATTACGCTGAAGAACGTATCAAGTTTTCGAATTTGAATTTGCGAATCGAGAAATTTATATAACTTTATTAAATCAAGAAATTTATTAAATTTTTAACTATTAAAAAATAAAATTGTTTTATTACCAAAAATGATAACTAAAAAAAATTAAATTTACGTAAAGATTACTTTTTGTTTGCTCTTTTGGAACACTGTATTTAAATGTATTCAGCAGTTAAAATTTTAAAATATTTCTAATCATGAATTAACACGTGTAAATTAAAGATTTGATAACAAATTTTATATGAAACATTTTTATAAAAGAAATTATTTTAGAAATATTTACTTTAAAAATTAAAAAATGTAAATCTTATAATTTAAAAATAAAAAATAGAAAATTTCAAGTTAAACATAATTAAATTAAAAAATAATTGTTAAAATTTAATTTAAATGTCACACATAAATCAAAATTTTGGGACAAAAAATTTTTGTTTTGTGAAAACTATCCTCTTGAATAAAAAAATTTTAATTTAATATTAGATTCAAATTCAGCGAGCCTAAAAACTTTCAAATACCACATATTTTGCAAACATCCTATAGTAAAAAATATTTTTTTAATAACGCATATGTGCTATTAACAATTAACAAGTTAAAATTTATATAAAAAATAAATTGCTTCCAAATAATAAAATTGATATATAAAATTAATCGCTTTCAAATAATAAAGAAGCTCTTAGACTTCGAGTGCACGGGCAATTTAAATCGCGCCACTGAGTAGCGCGATCGAGTAACATCTCCGATTTTTCATATATTTATATTAGATCTTGGTACACGAAAATCGGAGATGCTACTCGATCGCGCTACTCAGTGGCGCGATTTAAATCGCCCGTGTACTCGAAGCCTTAAGGTATCAAATAATTGAAGGATCCAAAGATTGTTAAAACATACAAATATTTAAAAAAGTACACAATTAACATTTTATGCAACGCCGACTTCTCACAAGTGCTTTACTTTTAACAATTGTTTTTATATCAGATTTATATCCACCGAAATAATAGGGGTTAAGTACATATTATAGATTTAATTTCAACTTGTACACGAACATTAGTGTTATGCTGCAATCATATCAATCAAAACATATTATGACCAATTCATGTATATGTAATTAACAACGGATAAAATATTTCCCAATAAATAAAAGCAACATACTTATTATAAGTTCTTTACGCTTCTCAATTTCTTTGTTGCAATTTCAAAAGTCTAGGGAAAAGGGGGCAGTCCCATTCTCTCCAGAAATTTCGGAAATAGTAATTAATCTAAATAAAAATAATTTTGATACACGCAGCAAAGAGCTCTGAGAAAGTTTGAAGTATTTTATAATTATTTGGTTTAGAATTATTACCCTATCATTAACTGGTCGACAATAAAAGACCTCATAATAGGAATTTAAAATTCAGAAGTAGAAGGAGCCATGGTCCCTCTAGAAAAATTTCCTAGTTAGGCTAATGCTCTTAAAATGTCTATTTAAGTGAACATGATTTGTCAGATTCGTGCTTATTTATTGTACGAGTTTAAACTTGAATTTAAAGCTTCAAAGGTTGACCGAAAAATTTACTCTGCATTTGAAGAGTATGCAAAAAAAACCGTTCGACATTGGTTTTAAAAATTTGCATCAGGGGGTTAAATCAGGGGTTAAATCAGGGGAAAATGGTCAGACATGTCTGAATAATGACGAATTGAAAGTAGCAGTTGGAGGCAAGTTCGAAATTAACGTATCAAGAGTTTGCAATTACATTCAATGTAAGTGATGAAACCATAAGATTATATTTACATCTGTTCTTAAACAATTCCAAGAAATATAACTATCGAAAAACGGCAAGAACTGTTTTGGTTATCTAATATATACATATTGCACACCCACAAGAAAAGTAACACAAGTCGAAATTTTTCGAATTTTGTTTTATGTGCAAATTGTGTTTTAAATACATCGGCTTTCAACCAGGAAAAATGATTGAAGTTGAATTCAAATATTCTGTATTCAAATATCGCGTGAGTCCGCTATGTTTAATACTACCGTAAATAATTAATTTAAAAATTATTGTTTAACCATAGACATGGGAAATTATTTTCCGTAAAATCAAGCTTGCTTCAGACGATTTATAATTTGCGACAGAATTTGAGATAAAAACCAATTCATATTATTAATAGAAAACATTATTAACGCAATTCCTTCTTTCCTCTCCTGAACAATTTAATATTTTTCACGTATTACTTTCCTTGCGGGTGTGCGATATGCAGAACTGTTTTGTATACATGTGATATATAATGTGATATATAATGTGGTATGATAATACATGTAATATATATATATTAGGTAATGAAAATAGTTCTTGCCATTTTTCAATAGTCATATTTCTCGGAATTGTTTAGGAACAGATGTAAATGTAAACTAATGATTTCACTTACATTGAATGCAATTGTAAGTTCTTGGCACAATAATTTCGAACTTGTCTCGATTGCTACTTTAATTCGTCATTATTCGTACACATCAACAGTGTACTCTAATAGAATATAAAAATTTAATAAGATAAAATCATTATCGTTAAAATAGCAACGTCATCTACTAATATATAAAATGCATGGACTTACAAGTTAATGTTTCTTCGATCTTGGGAACATTTTGTCTCAAACCAGAAGACCTCAAGGGTTTTGGAGGCTTTTTTATGCTCTCCATGAGCAATTCTCTCAGAGTGCATTCCTTCTGTAATGGTCGTAATCGTCTTTCCGAGGCCTGCATAGTAAAACATAATAGACTATTATTTTTTTCAAACTCTACAAACATTTTTATAAATTTTTAATATTTAGTTTAAATATATAAAAGTTTTTAAGTACTTGGATTTTGAATACAAGTCTTGCCTTTTTCAGAGGTGGTCGACTTCGAATAAACTCAAGGATAATAGCGTGCGCGTCTTTCCTCGATGGTGTAGGTGGCGTTTTTCTGAGATGATATCGTCTTTCCCTAATGTCATCCATTAGAATCTCATACGGAGTCATCTTGTAGTCTGGGCGATTTCCTTGTTCACGCGAGAATGAACGTGAACCCAAACTAGCTTCCACCTTTTTCAATTTCACTCCTCGCCTCAATTCACTGATGACTTGAACCCAAAATCTAGCCTGACAATATATTCAATTACACTTTGGTATTATTGTGTAACTCAATATTACTAATTTACTCGATAAATTTTCGCAACGAAACATAGAGTATATGTAGCATTATTTCACTCTCTCATAACTCTTATAAAAATGCGGATATTTTTATTATATATTTCAAATGCAATACTATAATATTAATAAACATACTTCTAACTTGTTTGTAAATTATTTTTCGTGTGAAATTAATCAATCGCGTTCTCCAAAGTAAATAAAATATTAATCTACTAAAATAAAGCTTTATTTGTTCTACATACATGGCTAGGAAACTCAGTTATTATATTTCATGCATTTATCATGCTCAACATTACACTGATTCTACTTATTTTTGGACAGGTACGCTTAAATTTAAATAATAATATAATAATGTAACAACAAAAATGAATAATTGTATTAAATGTTATTTATAGATAAACATACTTGTATAGCCCTCCAAATTCTAACGTCCGTCTATAAGAATAAATATAATTAACAATTAAGAGGTTGTTTGTACATTATACATAATTGTCATCACATGTTGTTTATCATTTGATTTTTATATTGGTTTTCCAGTAAGAAGACAGAGATAGATATTGTGTCACACAATTGAACATGATGCATGGATGCTTGATTAAATTAAATGCCTTTTAATTTTCTACATAGTTGCTAGTTTGTGCTAAAGTTTTTTTATTCTCATCCATAAACTCTAATTTATACTCGTTATTTTTGTCTAAGGTAACTATGTGTAAGTTAAATATATTATTAATTGATATTAAAATAGATTATTTTTCTATTACAAGTAAAATGTAACTTAAAAATTCAACTTTTGACATAACGATAAGTTTCCTAATAATTTATCAATTACATCTTAATTTAATAAATTAAATTTTTAACAACAAACCAAAGATTACAGAGAAAACAGCTGATTTTTTTGCTATATAAAATTTTAACGTAAGTTTTTTAAATTATTAAAATTTACAGCCATGATTAGTCAATAAATGTTAAGCTTTCGCGGATGTGTCGACTTACGTCACGTAATGGTATCACTAAAGAAGTTCGACACTATTGTATTATTACTGTATTGACTATATTTCTAAGGTAAATTATAAAGTATAAAATATATTTGATATAAGTACAAGTTACACGATATATTTTTCATAAAGAGAAATTCTAAATTTTTATAGAGAGAAAATCAATTAATAAATTATCAAAGAAATCC